ATTTTTTAAAATCTTTTTTTTAAAAACCTTCCTAAAATCGTATATTTTTATAGAACTTAAAACCTACCAATAATTTTTCAACAAAGATTTTTCAAATATTTCTATGCCATTTTTTAAGAATATTTTGAATAGACCCTTGGATTTGTAAGAAAAAAATATTCGCAGACCTTCAGACAGAAAATCCTACCTGTCGTTGGGGAGGTACCAGTAGAAGTGATCTAATATATTAGATATCTAGACCTAGAGTTGGTAGAAATATTGAAATATGTGAAATGTCAACACAATTGGACTCATATCTGAACTATACCATGAAGACGGACAACTAGAGTTGATAGAAAAACATGGATATGCGAAATTTGAAGATAATAGGACTTTTCGTTCACAGTCTTTAAGCGTTGCGATTATTTAAGATTTTGATCCTCTGAGATATTTTGTCCATTTTCGCACTTTACCTAGCATTGACACAAATAATAAGATTTGCAAAGGTTTGGAAAAAATCTGATGAACCTTCCTCTTTTTTTTTTGTGGGGGGTGCTAGAAGGAGTAGACCAATATTTCCCATCTCCGGACTCGATCAATGTTTGATAATGATGTTCCGAAGTAAAAAGTTTGGACGAAATCGGATACTCCATTCTAAGGATTATTTGCGCAACAGCAAGCCAGCTAGGCAGAAAGATGGACGGACGAACAAATACCCCTAGATCGACTCCAAATGACCTGAAATATATATCGCCCGAAGAAACCTGGGATCGATGAATCTGATTTTTTGGTAATATCAAATGATTTATACTCTCAGTAGCCATATGACTGAGGTATAATTAAATTTGTTAAACGTTGGCCAGTTCCCATTTTTATTAACAGTTTTTCAAGCACTTTGGGCAAAAAATCGTGTAAATGACCACAAATCGTCGATTTTGTTCAAAAATATTTTCAAGGACATCTTGATCGAAAATCATGGACCTTTGGGAAAAATTTTCCTAGACAAAATTTGTTGATTTTTCATGTATGTATTTAGGGATTTCCTGTTCGAAAAACTCTTTGAAAGAGAATTTTGGATTTAAAAAAACGAAATCCCAATAACTTCAACACTAAAAAATGTAGATTTTTTCAGAGAAAACATTTTTTATGGACCTCCGAATCATGTTGTTTTCCTATTTAGTGACAAGGAGGAAAATGTTTTTTTTTTTTTTCAAAAAAAAAAAAAATGTAAAAGGACTTCCTTGCCGAAAATTAGTTTTAATTTTATCAGAAAACATTTTAAAGGAACTTCTTGACAAAAAGATACAATTTTGAAGAACAAAAATGAAATCATCCTAACGGATAACGGTTTTACTTTAGAATATTATTGTTGTGAAAAGTTTAGTTGAATTTACATTACATGTTCATTGTCTTTTTTGAAATATTTTTCAAAAATTCATATAAAAACTCAGGGATTACAAAAGGAGAATCAAAAAATTAGAGTATGTTTATGATCTCATGGATTTATATAAGAATATTTTTTTTATATACCGGTGAAAATTAGGGAATATTTTCAAGGAAATATCAGAAATTTTTTTTGGAAATCCAATATTGTAAAGGAATTGCTGGTCAAGTCTCATACATATTTTAAAGATTCCCCAACCAAAAACGTAATTTTTTTTTCATCAATTTGTGCCAAAATTACCATAGTCTCTTTTTATCTTTCTTTCTGCTTAAAATTCGTGGAAGTTTAAATTTAAAAAACTATTTTTTTTAATTTTTTTTTAAATTAAAAAAAAATAAATTACATTTTTTCAAATTTTTTTTTTAAACTAAATCCCAATAAAATTCATGGGTTTAGCATTTTCTTCGCAAAAATAGAACATTTTTAAAGGAATTCCTGATAGGAAAATTTTAATTTATTAAAAACTTTTGATTGACTCCTGACAGAAATCTGCACAAAATTTGCCGAATTTTAAAATTTTTTTATAAAAATATAGATTTTTCAAATAATGTTGTTTTAAAAATTTTCTATCCAAAATCGTAAATCGTAAATTCTTTCAAAAACTCCATTGAACATTTTTTTTAAAAATTCTGCAAAAATCTTAAAAATACCGAATATAGCCGATATATTAGGGTCTATTAAAAATTTAGCTAAAGTCTCAAAAATACCAAATAAAGCCGAAGACGTGAACCTGTATAGGCAACTTTTGTCATAAGCCATAACAATATTCAAATACGAAACTTGGAAAAATCCGGCGAATAATAGCTAAATTAATAAAAATACCGAGTTAAGGGATGTACCGTTATATCAGGGCTATACGAAGACCTCGACCTGTACAGATAATTTTCTGTCACAGGTTTTAATGCCTACTAGGAACTTCAAATACGAAATTTCATGTCCGTCTGTCTGTTGAAATCACGACACAGCCCACATTATTTGACGTAGAGCGCCAAAATTTAGCAGAGCAATTTGTATTGTGTCTAGGATGGTTGGTATTAAAAATGAGATATATCGGTCCACGTTCTGGTATAGTCCCCATGGAACGGTACCTCCCGATATTCGGTATTTTAATGATTTATGCCAAATTTTTTCACGGATTTGTCTGAAAATTGGTATTTATAGGTCATAACGGGTCTCTGTGCGTGTGGCAAAACATTGCATGCTTAGGTCCACGTTTTGGTATAGCCCCCTATATAAACATACCTCCCGATATTCGGTATTTTAATTTTTTGCTACATTTTTTTCACGGATTTGTCTAAAAATTGGTATTTGTTGGTCATAATAGGTCCCAGTTCGTGTGGCGAAACATTGCATATATGGGTCCATGATTTGGTATAGCCCTCATATAACGGTACCTCCCGATATTCGGTATTTTGATGGTTTTTGCCATATTTTTTTACTGATTTGTTTAAAAATTGGTATTTGTGGATCATAATGGGTCCTAGTTCGTGTGGCGAAACGTTGTATGTATAGGTCCACGTTTTGATATAGTCCCCATATAATGGTACCTCCCAATATTCGATATTTTGATGATTTTTGACACATTTTTTTTAAGAATTTCTGTGAAAATTGGTATTTGTGGATCATTATGGGTCCCAGTTCGTGTGGCGAGTCTTTGTAATTATAGGTCCACGTTTTGGTATAGCCCCCATATAACGATACCTCCCGATATTCGGCAATTTAATGGTTTTTGCCACATTTCTTCTAATGTTTCCTTTACCCTAAGGTGGAGGGTATTACAAGTTTGGCCCGGCCGAACTTCATGTTTTTTTTTTACTTGTTCATCATAAGCTGTATACGAATTCTAAAAAAAGGTGCGGTGAATAATGCCCCTAAATTCGTCAAAATATTGAATATCGGGGGGTACCGTTGTATGTGGGCTATACGATATCGTGGAAATATATAGACATTTCTCCTCCATGGGGTGAAGTGCTTGAAAGTATTTCATTAAAAAACTGTAGCTAAAATCTTAAAAATACCAAACATAGAGAGGAACCGTTATATGGGGGATATACGATATGGTGGAGCTATATAGAAAGAACTTCTTTTGTGAATTTTCAGACAATTTCATTGAAAAATTTGGCTACAATTATCAAAATATCGAATATCGGGGGGTAGCGTTATATGGGGGCTTTACAATATAGTGAAAAGATATAACCCATCTTCGAACTTGACCTGCCTGCAGACAAAAGACTGATCTGTGCACAATTTTAGCTTCCTATCTTTATTCGTTTTGACTCTAGCGTGATTATTTTTTTAATTTTACGCTGATCAAGAATTAATACACTTTGTTGGGTCTATTTTATTTCGATGAGTTACAAACGGAATGACAAACTAAATATACCGTCCATACATATTATGTATGGTGGATGGTATAAAAAAATGAATTTCTTTGGATTTGTTTTTTGAAAGACTTTCTTACAGCTCTTAAAATATTACCCTTTCAGTATTTTCGTAAATAGGAGTTCTAAAAATCAATTCTAAAAATCAGGTGTTGTTTGAGTTATTTAATAGGTTCATAAACTCAACTTAATTTATGTATGGCTCCAAGTTTAAAGGATGTAACTCCTTGTTGTCCACATATGCCAGTTTATTTGTATGTGGCGATATAAAAGGAAATTCGGTAAAAAAAACACCATTTCAATAAGCTTTTCAAAAATTTGGGTTAATCTTCAAATAAATTTAATGTTTGAAACAAAAACTCATTTGGTATGCCTTTTCATATATAATCAGGCCCTAAATATTGTAACAATCTCCCACAGTTTTATAAAACACACCAACAGCTATTCTTAAATTCAAAACTAACTTTCTACTGTGAAGAATCTTCAGTGAAACCATACAAATTTAATTTAGTTTCGCCAAATTAGTCTATGATTAATTGAATTTTTACAATTCCTATCAAATTGAATTTCCAAATTCAATTTAGAAAATTTGTACTGCTCACTCAATCTTATCAATCGGCTAACAATATCTAGTGAGTTTACCCGTCAAAACCACAAAATATTTAATTAAAACCCTTTAGATTGATTTGTTGGCATCAACCTGACGTGTCTTTAGCTTCCACACAGAGGCAACAACACATCACTCGGCTCTTTAAGATTGATTAGCACTTGGCTGTTAATTTAAAAGTTAAACATCGTCCAAAAATGTTTTGGGTTGAAAGGAAAGGCGAAAAGAAACATCTCTGGAAAACAACTTAATCGATGCGGGTTTTTGTAGGTTTTTGTAAAATGCCAAAATACCACTTTCTTCATTACTGGCCAGGAGAAAAAAAAAACCAACTGACTAAATAAATAGAAGACAAGCATTTAAAATCTGCAAAATCCAAAGATACATGAAAACACAACAAGGAATTTAAGTGGATCCCAGGGAAAACTAAATTCGAAAAATGAGAAAAAAAACAAGAAAAATTCCCACACGACCTTTGCGATCGTTTGCCTTACTCTGTTGTACTCGCTGTCAAGTGAAAAATATCGAATAAAATTTTAGGATGTGCCAGCATCGTGGCCATGGTAGCCATCATCCTCGTTGAGCATCAATGAACTCCAAGACAAATGTAATCAGAAATACAGGTGTGCATCATAAATTAACGCCAGACCGCAAAGGCAAAGGCATGACGTTAGCCTGCAAAGGATGCTGTTACCCGTTATATCAGCATGAAAGTGGTAGTTCGCCTCCACACTACATGTCTCTAAGGTAAGTTTCGCAGCCGGAGTATCATTGGCAAACGGAATTTGACTTCAAAACATTTTTGTTTCTTATAAAATAAATAAATTTTGATCATATCAACGGCAATAATGATGACGATGATGTTGGTAGGCAGTGTCATTGCAAATCGAAAGAAGAAGACAAAAAAACCCTCCATTGTGTTGTGTTTTGCAGTTCGAATGGCATCATCAGCCAACATATATTGCACATCTCAAAGGATAGAAGACATCCAGTCACCAGGGTAGCTGCAAAAGGTTAACCGATTTCTTTGTTTTCTTCCAGTGCTGTTGGTTTGAGATTTGAGGCACAGTGTACTAAAGAAATGTTAATGTCCTGAACAATATCGTTGTTTTATACACTACAATGTGTTGGGGGTATTATAAGTTTGGTTGGGCCAAAAATTATGTAACACCTCGAAATATTGATCCACGACAGAGAAAAACTATATGTGGATATTCCTATCTCGCCGAGCTGAGTCGATCTACCTATGTTTGTCCGTCCGTCTATCCATGTTAATTTGTAATCAAGCTAAAGGTCGCAATTATAGCCCGATCCTCACAAAATTGAAAATGGAGGTGGCAATAGGATCAAAGTAGAAGTATATTGTTCTTGGAGTTGATCGCAAAATATTTAGCGGTTGAAATGGAACAAAAAAAATCTTGATTTTGCTGTTGCTCTACGGCTACAATTATAGACCAATTGACGCGAAATTTAGCATGGAGATATGGCTTAGGGCTGGACAGGAGCCTACCAAGTTGGATGGTCATCGGATAGTATTTAGCGGGTAAAAAAGACCATAACTTTTATGTAAAAAAATAAATAAATAAAAATTACCATTAAATCGCGTATATTTTTAATCCCGATCAAATTATAAATACATTAAAATGGACTATAGTTTAGGGCTGGGCAGAAGCATACCAATTGCTATAGACATGAGCTTTAAGTCGGTCCAATGATTCCAGCAGCCCATAGACCCCAACAAAGTGTGACCTTCTCTTGGTGTATTGGCAGCTTTTGTATGATAATCACTCCAATATCGACAATTCTGCTTATTTACATACCGCTGAACATAATTTTTCCATAAAAAAATCGAATCTATATGGTACCGTAGCCCGACGTCAAGGAAATGGATGGAAGAAAACAGCAGCATCAGAAGAAATGTAAAGAAGCGAAACGAAAAGCGAAGAAGTGGCCGAAAAATGGCTCGTGAGCTCGGGGTAAAGCCATTGAAATTCCAAAAAGTGCAAGAACATACACCGCAACAGAAAAAAATAGACTGAAAGTGGTGAACTGCCGAATTTGGTTTTCTTTGTCCAGCAGTTTGTAAACAAATAAAATGATCGTGTTTACTTGCCACAGAGGTCAGCTGAAAATGTGCACCTTCGGTTGGCCACCAGAACTCAAGCGCCGGCCGTGGGGATGGTGTGGGCCGCCATAACAGCCGATGGTAGCTCTCCACCCGTATAAATCGACCGTGGCATCAGAATAAATGTCGAATGTTATCGCGAAAATATTTTGGAGGGTGTATAAAAGCCTTGGGCACGCAAATATTTTGGTCGCAGACCTTGGAAATTCCAACAGGACTCAACACCATCGCAATCAGGACGCGCCACCCAAGAATGTTTACAAAATGAGGTTCCTCGCTTCATTTCCAGCGCACAATGGCCACCAAAATCTCCGGATACCAATCCGTTGTGTCTGAAGTATTTTAGAAAGCAAAGTTGGCACTAAAAAATAGTGTCGATCACCTCAAGCAAGCGCTTCGACTGGAATGGGCCAAAATACCGCAGAGCAACATTCGGGCAGCGGCTGATGGTTTCATTGGCCGTTTGAAGGCCATAATTCGTGCCAAAGGTGACCAATTCGAACAAATCTAACCTTTTTCTAAAATCTGATGCTATATCCAACATTTTTGCTTTCATTCAATAAACCTGTTTTCATAGACTAATTTCAACAGATTTTAAATTTAAACCGCTCAAAAGCTTAATACGCAATTTATACTTAAATTGCCAATTGCTACAGTTAAGTCGGCACCGACTGACTTTTTTCTGTCCTACGTGGTTTTTATATCCTCAGCCATATGGCTATCTTTTGATACGGTCAAACGTGCCTAGTAGAAATAACGGTTTTAGACGCTAGGTCGCTTTGGACCAAATCCGTTTCAGAACATTTGGAGTCGATCTAGTGGTGTCCAATACGAAATGGTCAATATGGGTCCATTCCTTCGCACCCTACTCTTTAGAGGGTAAACGATTTGAATAATCATAACAGAAGTCAAAATATATTTAAAAAATCGAACATTGGCTGAAATTATACATCTGTCGGCAAAGCCCACTGATAATTTGTCAATTTGGTTTGATTATATTACCCTGTAATGATTTACTCCCAACGATATGCTATATTGGAGTCAGAATCAGAACACGAAAGATACAGCATTACGAAGTGTTTCAACAACAAATATCTACCTATATCTGTGAAATTTTATAAAAATTCTGACTTACATTTTTATACCCTACAACACTATGTGTTGGGGGTATTTTAAGTTTGATTGGACCAAAAATTATGTAACACCTCGAAATGTTGGTTTCCCACATAGGAAAGTATATATGGATCTTCCTATCTCGCCGAGCTGAGTCAATCTAGCTATGTATGTACGTCCGTCCGTCTGACCGTCTGTCCATGTTAATTTGTAATCACTCTACAGGCCGCAATTATGGCCGATCTTCACGAAATTTAGAATGGAGGTGGGGCTAGGGTCAGAATAAAAAAAATTCCTGATTTTGCAGTTGCTCTACAGGTCGCAATTATAGATCAATCAAAGCAGAAGTTAGCATGGGGCTAGAGCTTAGGGCTGGGCAAGTCTTAAAATTTTGATGGTCATCGGGTAATATTTAGTGGGTGAAATAGGCCACAACATTTGTGTTAAATAAAAGTCAAATTTTCTATTAAACCGCGAATATTTTTAATCTCGGCGAAATCACAAATAGACGAACAGGTCAATACGTAGATTACGTAGATGCCGATAGTAAATATATTGGATATATATAGCGAAATATACACAATGTGTATATACGAAGAAAGGGGATGATAGCTAGAATGTTTATATCTCAAGAACGGCTGGACCGATTTTGCCAAATTTTGTCAGATCAGAATGCCCTCTTGACATAAAAGTAAAAACTCTAAAAAATAGCAGAAAAATACGCCAATAATTATGTTAATATAGATTTTGTAGTATTTTGTGACATTTTTTTTTTATTTTTTCATATTTTTTATCGCATGCGATTTTTTTCAATTTGCCTTTTTAATATTTTTTCACCTTACAACACAGGTTGGGGTTATTATATAAGGATTGCAAATATCGTCCAATCCTCACGAAAATTTTCACAAGGGTAGGGTTAGGCTCAGAAGGGCTAGGCCTATTGTTTTTAAAGATGTCCGCAATATATTCGGGGTTGAAATGGACCAACAACTAAAAAGTTTCTTGATTTTGCAGCCGTTATAAAGGTTACAAATAGAAACCAAAGGACACGAAATCCCGCATAAAGTTAGAGTTTAGGACAGCGGGTACAATGGACAACTAATTTTGTGTGAAAAAAATACCAGCAATACTTATAGGCGTTATCCGAAATACACAAAAGGCAAACTTCAGGTTTTTTTTATGCTGATTTCGTTGACGAATATAGCCAAATATCGTAGACAAGCAAATCATATAAATGAGTATAAATTTGGAGATACAGAGGGGCTTCTTGCTTTTGGAGATGATATATGATATATAATATTAAGGGGTTCAAATTAACCAAAAACAACCGATCACACAATTGAAGCCAATCGACACGCCTGAAGATAGTTAAGGACAGGGAAGAATTCTAGCATTTTGGATGACCATTGGATTATATTTAGCTGTAAAATGGACTACAACAACTTACAGCACGACGGAGTGCATAAATATTAGGCAAATGTCCATAGTCAAAATCCTAATTTCAAAAGCGAAATCTTCCAATATGGATTTGGGCATAAGGGGGCTTCTAACATATTGCAGTGTTGTAGGGTATTACATAGTCGGCCCCGCACGACTACAGCCTTTGCTTACTTGTTTGTATTTCAATTTATATTAAAGCTAGTTCCAACCACTGTGCCCTAACTAAGGTGGGTCTTCGGTATCAATCTAACGGTTCAAAAGGCCATGGTAGCGTAAAGGCTGGCTGGTGGAGGAAGCGCACTAACAAACTCAACCATCAGAAAAACCTCCAAAACACCAAACAAATATTGTCTCACGAATTTCAATGTTAAACATGGGCAGGATTTATTCATTCACTGAATTAACATCGAACTAAAGCGCATCCATATATCCATATTCATTGTTATTAGATTCCTCCGACTTCTGCTCACAGTTTCCAAGCCTCATGCATCAGTTTCACTTTTGTTTTCGTAGGTCACGTTTTGAAATATCATTTGCGATTAGCAGTCAATGAAGAGGCAACTGGTGGTAACTTATGTGTTGGTGGTAGTGGTGGTCTAGTGCTGTTGGAGCCATCGATGCTCCCGTGGTATGTTGTATGTATGGCGGTGCAATTTTAACAACAGATGTTATAGCATCCCAGTCAAAGCATCACCACCGGCAGAAGCCTGCTGCAGCATCAGCCTTTTTGCATGGCCAAGGAATTCACTTTCCTTGAATCGCAAAAGCCATTGACATTAACGCTGGTTACTAAACAGCTGCATGCAACAAAAGGCATTAGCCAAAAAAATATGTCTCTTCTTCAGTTGGTAATTTTTGTCATTTTATATAAATTTGCGAACAAAAATCCCTGATGTGACAATTCGACAATTCCAAATATGGTCGAAGAAACGAGTTATTTTGGTTGTCACTCCACAACACCGATGTTCGAAAAATGCAATTTATTACTATCACCAAATATTATTGTTATTATTATTATTTTGTAAATATTGTATTTTTCAACAAATAACGCGAGATATGGTGGGTCAGCACACGCAAGGATGCGGACAGTGACAGATGGAATTGATGTATTTATGCAACTTGTTATGGGGGGAATGTTGAAATATGAAAGTTTGCAAGTCTTTCCTTATTCGATTCGGAGAGGGAAAGGCAGAAGGAAAATAGTTAGTTTGAATGTTATTTTTGTTCTAAGCTTAGATTGTAAAACACCATTTGTTGGAATTAAAAAAAACACAATCGGTCGTGATTATCCTTTCACTGCTACATTCGTAGCAGGGCTGTGAAAGTAATACGTTGCTGTATTAAAATAACATTTTGGAACATCTGCCAAAATTTTATTTTGATTTCAAAAATAATGCCTCAATTATGATAGGCATTTGACAGGTGTTGACAGCAAAGATGAAAATTCAAAATCACGATTGTTGAAAACATCTGCAGCTCAAACTAAAACAAAATATTATTTAGGGAAAGTTATATTTCATTAGTTGTTCTTAAATAAATAATCATTTTGGTTTTCATAAAAACAGGAAGGAAAATGTACATCCAATCTATCCCCAAAAGGACCATCTATGGAGCGCTATTTTATTGTTCCTTCGGTATTATATTTTAGTAGAATTCAAAATTTTGTTGAGTGGAAATTTTGACAATTTCCATGGGCTTGTCTTTTTAGAAAAATAGCGAAGAGTTCCCTCTTACAGCTCCGTCCCCTCCTTGAGTCATGATTATTCAAACTGTTGACCCTTTATGGGAGAGGTTTCGAAGTAAATGGCCAATATTGTCCAAGTCTGATAGAAATATTACAACGTGCCAGATTTGGACTATATCGACTATTTACTATACTTTATATGACATATGTGCAAATTTTTGGAAAATGTGAAAATATGCGTGAAAATGTGAAAATATGCGTGAGATATAGCGGACCGAAGTATTCTACTTCATATAATACAGATAAAACTATTAGTATGAGAAACTTTACAAAAAAATCGAACATTTATATACAGTTGTATGTGAAATTCTGGTAAAGAGAAATATTTAGATAAAGCAAGTGTTATAGAATCGCCGATTTGTTTCGCAAGTTATGACAGATATAAGTATTTGAAATTGTAACGCTTTGTAGGTGAGGTTCCAGAAGGGTTGTTTTAGAAAAATGTTTGGATGTGTTAAATTAGAAAAGAATGTGATGCTTATTTCCCGCTTTATGAGCTTCATGGTTAATAAAAATGTTGACCCTTTGTGGGGGCGGTACTTGATGGAGTGCAACGATAATGTCCATTTTCGCACCTTACATAGAACTGATACAAATATTAGGATTTGCAAAGTAAGAGCAAAATTGGATGATCATTTCTCTTCTATGCAGTCATATTTTCTTTGGAAATTTCGAGCTTTTGTGAGGGGGGTCAAAGAAGGAGTAAACATATATCAACCATCTCCGAACTCGATATGAGCTTGATAATAATATTACGATGTACCAAGTTTGAAATAAATCGGACACCCCATTCGAGAGTTATTGTGCGAACCAACCAGACAGGCAGAGGGACGTCGGTAGGTCACTCCACATGTCCTGAAATGGATTTGGTCCAAATAGACTTAAGGTTTAACATCGTTATTTCGACGAGGCACATTTTGGCCGTATTAAATGATATATTACTTCTCTAGCCATATGACTGAGGATATAATAAATTGTATTTGCACTAATAATATTTTATTTCGTCTACACCAATATATATGCCTATATTGATGATTATTGATAGAAATATTTAACATCCGCAAAAAAATCTTGCACACCAACTACAGACGGAACAGTGATTACATATTTGTTGACAGAATTCCGAGCAGAGAATCCTACTTCTAATTGTTCTTTCAGACGGATTAAAGATGAAAGAAGAAACGGCATCCGGATTCACCTGATAGCAACTAGGAATGGCCTACACCTTCAAGTTTAATGGCAAGTGCAGTGTTTTTCAGGCAAAGACTTTGGAATCAGATATGGAGTCAGATATGATTAAAACTGGTAACTGAATCGATGACTATTTAGGTGAATAGTCAAGCGGCTCTTAAAGCTATTGATTCTCCTGCAATCAATTCCGATGTACATACAATGGCTATGGAAAATCTGCACACTATTCTCCGTTTTTGCTGGAGACCTAGTCATTGTAATATTGAAGAAAATGAGAAAGCCGTTGGAAATAGGCTCGCAGTCAACAGACCTTGAAGTAGCCTATATCTTAAAACACCCCAGTTTTTATACCTCCACCTTTGAAAGGAGGGTATATTAAATTTGTCATTCCCTCTCTATCACCTCTAAATATTCGTCATATATCATGATCAGCATAAAATTCTAAGTCGATGTCCACATGTCTGTCAATCTGTCTGTTGAAATCACTATACAGCCCACATTATTGAACGAAGAGCTTTTGAATTTGGCACAGTAATTTGTATTGTGTCTAGGATGGTTGATATTGAAAATATATTGGTCCACGTTTTGGAATCTCCCCATATCGGGTAGCTCCCGATATTCGATATTGGAATGGTTTTAGCCACATTTTTCCACAAAATTTGTTGGGAGGAACACTACAACATAGAGATATAATCCAATGATCATCCGAAATGCTACACTTCCGCCCTGTCCGTAACTCTCTCCTGCAAAAGTCCGTTTAAATCCATAAATATTCATCTTCAAAAAAACCAGTAAAGAAAGTCTTAAAGTCGGGCGGGGCCGACTTTATGATACCCTACACCACTTTGCTAATTTATTAGAACTCCACATAACAATTAAAAGATTTTATGGGAGAATTCAATCATACACGCTATGGTTATAATTATAATTTAAAGTTCAAAGGACTAAATATGCCGAAGCATTTGTATCTTTTAAATTCGGAATTGTATAGCCCATTTGGTGCACAATTGATTTGAAATCGGATAAAGATATATATGGGAGCTATATCCAAATCTGAACCGATCTCGATAAAATTTGGCAAAGATATTTCTGAGCTGTATTTTATATATTTCCCTGAATATCGTTGTTACGGAGTGCATACTACGGCTGTGGGTAACAACTATGACAAATCGGATGAACAGTATACATGAGAGCTATGGCTATATCTGAACCGATTTCGATCAAATTTGGCATACATATTTTCAGACCTAATTTGGGTGTATATGCAAAATTCCATACAATTCGGGCTGATATTACACGTTTGGTGCACAATAAAAGGCAAATCGGACGAAGATATATACGGGAGCTATATCTAAATTTTGGCCGATTATTTCCAATTTCAATAGGGTTCGTCCTTGGGCCAAACAAATGTGCAAAGTTTCATCTGGATCGGGCGAACTGTACTTTGTTTACAAAAATACATGGACAGACGGACAGACGGACGGACGGACATGCATAAATCGGCTCAGAATGTGATTCTATGCAGATCAACAAAAGGAACTATGGGTCTATCTCGTTTCCTTCTGCCTGTTACAAACAAATGCACAAAGACATAATACCCTGACCACCTTGTGGTGTAAGGTATAAAGAATGACATATTTTTGCGCTATTTTCTCAGATTTTATCATTTTCTGGCAAGAAGCCATTCCAAATTGGTGCGAATTGTCAAACTCAGTCCAGCGGAAAACTAACATCAATTTGTTGAACATAATTTTTAATTGTTTTTTATTATGGCCTCGAACGGCCAATGAAACCGTCACACGCTGCCCGAATGGTGCTCTGCGGTATTTTGGCCCATTCCCAGCGAAGCGCTTGCTTGATGTGATCGACACTTTGGTATTTTTTAGTGCCAACCTTGCATTTCAAAACACTCCAGACACAATAGTCCAAAGGGTGGAATCCGGAGAGTTTGGTGGCCATTGTGCGCTGATGCCACGTTCGATTAATACGACCGGAGAGCGACCATTGGCTGTTGTGAATTTTCGTACATCCCACTGAACTAAGTCTAGAAGCAAGTACATTTAATTTGGAAAATCGGTTCAAATATAGCTATAGCTCTCATATAAATGTTTCATCCGATTTGGTCTTAAAGTCCTTCATATTCTAATATACATTCGACAACAATGATATTTCGTACCAGATGGAACTCGATAATACCTATGCCAAATTTTATCGAGATCGGCTAAGATTTGGATGTTACTCTCATATATAACCTTAATCCGATTTCAGGTTTATTGTGCAAATAATGGTCAATATCAGCCCGTACCAGATCGTACCAGATGGAACTCGATAATACCTATGCCAAATTTTATCGAGATCGGCTAAGATTTGGATGTTACTCTCATATAAAACCTTTTTTGTGGAACTCGACTTCGATATATATTTTTATACCCTCCACCATAGATTGATAAAATTTTACTCAAATGTGTATTATGTCTGCAGGACTTTTGGTATTGAAAGTGGGTGATGTAGGTCCACGTTTTGGTATAGCATATATTTTGATGATTTAAACGACATTATTCACTGGAAATGTTCCAAATTTGGTATTTGAAGCTCGTAATGGATACTACAGCCCATGACAGACAATTGTTTGTGCAGGTCCACGTCTACGTATAGCCCTAATATAAAGGAATTTCCATGATTTTAGCTACATTATTCATC